ACTGACCGCTGAGGCCCAGCTGGGGGGCCACCTCCCAACTCCCACAGTAGTTTGGCCTTTAAAACACTAAGAACAGTTGCGTTCATTGTCCTGGGGTTTTTTTTTTTTTTTTTTTTTTGCCTTTTTTGCTTTAATAATAAAAAAAAGAAAACCAAAACCTCCTATAATTTATAAGCTATGTTTTACTATCTACATTATATATAAAATATAGACTCTGTTTACTTTATAACACACATCTTTTTCCCTTGATAAATAACTCTTTAAAATATCTAGTATACATGCCTTGACTTTTTATATATAAGTTTGGTTTTATACATATACATACATATATACTCATGGTCATAAAACACAATAAATATGTACTTGACAATGACAACCAAACAAATGCAGTTTTGGTTACAACAACAATAACAACAACAACAAATGAAGTACTGAAAAAGCACCAGGCAACAAACAAAAAGCCCTAATTGCTAGAAACTTCTCCCTCCCCTGGGCAAGGCACAGGGCAGAATACTAAACACGTTTGGATGCCTGAAAGAGGAGGAGGGGGCAGAGGAGGTGGTCAGGTCATACATTTTTGTTTCTCCATTTGGGGTTAGACTCAGAATCACAAATAAGTTATCATGTTTATAAAGAGAAACCAGGAGGCTCATTCAACCACTTAGCCCTTGTGGCAGCTGCAGAGGACACAGAGACCGAGACAGGGAGGGGAAGGAGAATGATAGCAACATCATGACTCCACGGCTATGCAGTCCCTCCTTACACCTGCCCAGGCAAGCTGTGATTGGTGCAGTAAGCATCAAGCCATCACATATGACATTCTTTGTATTACTCTATTCACTGCTGGTGTAAACAGAAAGGAGCGCAACAGATTCAAGAATGTATTCAGTAGTGCAACGTGTTAGGAGCCAGAATGAGAGCCAAAGGCTTCAGGGACCTCCCTCAAGGGCCAGCACAAATAGGGGCTGTAAGATGGGGGAGAAGAAGGCCATTACCTTGCTCGTCTAACTGATGTGGCCACCCAGTTGCAATGCCAGATTCACCTCCGGAGTCCAATGGGACCACCTAATCATTTAAAGCAGCACAGGAGGTCTTGACTCCTCCTTTGAGATGTCCCAGAAGCCCCTGGAAGCCTGTGTTGTCCCTGAAACTCAGAGCACACTCCGCCTGCCCTCTCCTGTGCCTAGGGTGGGGAAGATGTCAGAGGGGGAGGCATGGAATCACACTGTACTCATGTACCACTTTCCTTTCAAGGTCCTTCACCCTCTCCCCAAAAGGGAGTTGAAATTGTGGCTCTGATGGTTGATTTTCTTAAAAAACAAGCTTCTCAATGCCATGGCCTCTGCCCTGTAAACTCCAAGGTTTTGATGGCCAAAGAAAGCAGGAGGTGGTGGAGCAGATACCCTAAGCTAGTCAGTGCTGAATTCATATCTGGTGGGGGGGGGGCAATATTAGTAGAGCAGGTCTCAGGAAACCCTAAAGGTAAAAATCAATGTATGCCCCTCCTCCTTGCCACAAAAACAGAGATAACTGTGCACACTATAGCCACAATGGGAAATTTTAAACAGCTAGTTTTCTGAGTATATTCAAGACACGATTGAGTTTATTAAAAAACAGATTTATCTGCAACTGCTCTGGGAACCCAGGCCAGTGCAGGTCTGAGTTACAATTCCAACTTCTCCCCCCAACTAGCCATGGGACCTCAGACAAGTCATCTCAACTCTGAGCTTCCTTTCCCCATCTGAGGGCTCTGAAGGAGCTGTGTGAGGCAGGATGAGATTTAAGAGGCAGAAAACTGGGCTTCTTGTCCTGGCTCTACCATTAAATACACAGGTGACCTTGGCCATCACTCTGTTATATAAAATGAAGGGCCTATGTACAGTGGGCTCTGAAGTCCCTTCAGAAGCAACTGGATTTATTTGCTCTCCAGAATATCATTGCAAAGCGGATCCCCCCCCCTCCAAAGTATAAGAGATCAGAGGAGAAACCCAATCTACCATCACAGGTCAAATTCAATAGCTATGGCCAAGAAAGAAGATGAAAAGAGTAGGAGAGTGTCCCGGTACAAATGCACAGCTCAAATCTGAATCACAAATGAATGAACTCTAAAAGCCCTACTCCCTGAGAAAAGACATTTTCCTATGTTAGTCTCAGACCTCTGAGAGCAAAATCCAAGGCCATTTGTAATAGATGGCTAGCAATGCTTTGAAAATTCCCAGCTCTGAGGTTTGCTGTGTCACCTACAATCAAAATCAACTTAGGAAGTCAATTTTAAAAGAAGCTGAGTGATGTTTCCATTTCGGAATGGGCACTTCACTGCTTCTATTTGCAACTCTACAACCCCTGGCAGAACATCAAAACGTTGCATCCTGCTCAACAGGAGGGTGTTGAGAGCAGCTGGGTGGAGCTACAGGTCACAGTCAGCTCTTGTCACAGTTGCTTCCTGGGTGTGAGAACGACCTCTACAGAATTGGATAACGTGGCTCTCCTGCCTCGTAAGAACAGCAGGTGCACAGATACTTCTTCTTGGGAGGCAGAGAGGTTTGTAAGAGAAGACATGTTTTGGATTCAAGTGATGCCATTTCTACCCAACAGTTGGTGACTATGGGCAAGTTATTTTTTTCCTTTTAGAGCCTCCATTTTCTCATGTGTGAAAAGGGAGTAACAATACCCAGTACTACAGGGTTCTTAATGAATTGAATGAGATAATGTACTTCAAATGTTCTGCACATAGTGGACAAGTCTTAGAGTTGGCCAAGACTGCCCCTAGAGCATCCAGATACACCTGACACAGGGGTGTTTGTTACCAGGTAGGGTAAGGTGGAGCCAAAGTGGAGCTAAGGTACCTATAGTAAAATTTTCCCATTGAGAGAAGTCTTAATTAAGCTGACAGTGGTCACAGACCCCTTCACTGATAGATGATAAACTTTCCAAATAAGCCCAGGGCACTCCCAAATACTCGTGGATCCCAGGTAAGAACTCTGATCTATACCCTCTCTCAGAATTTGGAATTTAGGGCATCTGCAGAGGCAACTAGCAGCATCCAGACAAAACAGGCAAGGGGACCTAAGTGTGAAGGGCCTGAAAGTGCTGCTTCCATTACATCAGGACCTGGAAACACATTAAACAAAGCAGAAAGGGGCTGGATTATCACTTGCTCTTAGTTCTAGGTCAAAGTCATTTGACAGTACCCAGACCCTGTAGGGCACAATTAGGGGTGCTAGGCTGAAACCAGGTCCTTTGGCAAAGTGTTTTTGAAAGCTTGCAAGTCTTTGCATGTGATAGGGCAAACAGAGCACTAAAGAAGCATCTCAAACCCATTTGCTGTAATTTTTATCTTTAAAAAATTTATCTAACTAGGTCTTTCTTTCATTCCTTCATCTACCTACTACATGCATTTCAGTAGATAACCTTTGAATACACTTAAGAAAATACATGCTTCTTTTAATGAATATATATTGTCTCTATAGACCCCCAGCCTCAAATGAGAATGTTTCAGATACTGAGTATTTATTACGGAGCTCAGAGAACTTTACCGTGGGGAAAGATCTCCCAAGAATTCTAGTTAAGTACAGAGACATCAAATTGAAACCCAGGAATGTTCCTATTTAGATTGTAAATGATTAGAAAAATGAGAGCCACTGAATCACCTGGTTTTCCTTTCTGTCATTCTCAACTCAGCCTTTCAGGCTAGCAAGGAGAAAAAACTTCTTTCACTCCTTTTCCACAAAAACTACTTTCCCAGAGAGCCATTTAGGAGAACAAGAACCAAAACAGTTCGCAACATGGTCTCTGCTTAAAAGATTATCGTGAGGCTTCCATTCCAGCAAATTTCCAGTTTTGAACTGATAGATGCAAAAGCCAGAATGCTGACCATGAAGTCTGTGGGCAGCCCTGATGAACCACGAGAGGTTCAGCTAACCAACCCCACAGTGTTGCAATCAGGCCTTGGGAAGTAGGGTGATTCTTTCTAGGAAAGCAATACTTACTCCTCTGTACTAACTGGAAAATGACTGACATTTCTCTGGGGGCTGGACACACCCACAGATGCACTTCTGCGTAGCTGGGCTTTGAAGTATATTGACCCTGGGGAGGAACATGGAGGATGCAACTGATTGGACTATAGGTTCTCAGATTTTGTCTGCTCAGAGGCTGAGGGGTGGACTACAGGCCTCCTAAGTTCCCTTCTAGTTCTACTGCCACTTATCTGAAAAGGGGCCTAAAGCTCCATCGCATGCCAAGGACCCCTGTGTGACTTCTGCGAGCCTGTGTCAAAAGCTATGAAGACTTACAGAATGGTTTCCATATCCAGTCTCAGCAAAGGTCTTACGTGGGGTGAAAGATTAAGAAAAGATAGCAAAAAGATAATTCCTTCTTTTCAAAATTCCTACCTCACTTGGTCTTTCTTTCAAGACCAGAATTTTTAAGAATTTTAGTGACATTTGCTGATAGCAATCACTCACAAATGTGTGTGTGTGTGGCTGTCTCCTGTAGGCACTGCCTCTGCCAAGCCTGCAGTTCACCTCCTCTAATGAAGCCGAACATGAAAAGATAAGAAAGACAGGAGACCAAGACCAAGTCCAAGGGGAAGGAGGACAGGCTTTTCAGCTCTCAACCCCTATTTTAAAAACACTGAAAAAGTTATGTTCCATGTCTTGTCCTTTGTTTTAATACCTATGCAAAAATTTTTAGGTATCAGAATCCTGAAAGCAAAGGCCAACACTAAGAAAAGGGGGCTTAACTTTTTTTTTAAGGAAAAAGAGGATTGGCTCAGCGCCCTTAGCTTAATGGTTAGGGTGTCGGCCACATACACCAGGGCTGGTGGGTTTGAACCCAGCCCCGGCCTGCTAAACAACAATGACAACTGCAACAACAACAACAACAACAAAAATAGCCGGGCATTGTGGCAGGCACCTGTAGTCCCAGTTACTTGCGAGGTTGAGGCAAGAGAATCTCTTAAGCCCAAGAGGTTGAAGTTGCTGTGAGCTGTGACACCACAGCACTCTACTGAGGGTGACATACTGAGATTCTGTCTCAAAAAGGGGGGCAGTATTCTGAGTGGAACTAAAAGCTTCCCTTTTAAATCCACAAAGCTGGGTGAATCTCCTCAAAGCCCTGGTCCAGCTTGGTAGGAGCAATGGGTGTTGAGGCCCCAAACACCTCCCAGACCAGGCTCACTTTCCCTTCTGCTTGAGAATTCACATTGCAACACTTAGGCACACAGCTGTCCCCAGTCCTTGTGGGCAGCATTTGAGCTTATGGTCAAACTCATACTTTGTGCTGTTTTTTTGGTGCTGCCTGGACAGCCACATGACAGGGCCACCCCAACACTTCAATAAAGAATCCCTTTACACTCAACTCCCCTGTCACCAGAAACAGTGTTCTAAGGTGATTCCTTGCAGTTTTTAAGTTGTTGACAAGCTCAAAGGGATGTTTTATTCTCTGCCTCATCTGTTACCATGCTGCAGGTGCTCTCTGCCCATGGCTCCCGGGCAGCCCTGCTTTCTGCTCTATTCCTGACCTCCCCATCCCTTCTAGGGAAGCACTGGACCAAGCAAGAAGGCACACCCTCAGCGCTTCCTATGAGGAAGACCAACCAATCTAAAGTCCTACACTTTGCTGCTAAGTACTTTTTCCTTCAGATACTTCTAAGCAGAATAAAAAATGGCTTCCTGGAATTTGAACTTTCTTATCTGCCCTCCCTATCCCCTCCCCAGACCAACAGGCTTATGTGGACCTGTGAAGATATGCCTTCTTCTGCCAGTAGTGGGTGTCCAGGGCCCTGGCTCCCACTGACCTTGCCATGTGATACAGCACCTTGACCTTGCAGGACCACTTGGCCTGCAAAGAAAGCCAAGGTGCTGGGGTGGCTGAGGTAGCGAGGGAAGCAACCCCTCCTTGCTTCTCACAGTAAAGGGCACAAGAGGCAGCTACAGCTCCTCCGGCTCTATGCAGACACCCAGCAGGGATGATCTAGGGAACAGGCAGGCCCTCCTGAGCACTCCCGGGCTATGAGCTCAGCCCAGCAACAGTCTGATTTGTCTTCCCAGATGCCATTTACTCACACTGCTCCTCCACCTTCCCCACCCCCGTGGCCATCCTCTCCCCTACGTCTTTTGCTTTCGTCAGCCCCCGGCCCCCCAGGAAGACCTAAGTCCTGCAGGTCCCCAGGCCACGCTAACAGTAGAGGGACATCCTGCTCCGGCGCATGGCCTCGCTGATCAGGTAGGCGGGGCTCAGCTCCGGCTCTTCTGTCATGATGGCAATGTTCTGCCACTCGCCGGTCTGGCTGGACCTCTTGATGGTGTCCACCACGCACAGGGCGTACAGGCAGTCGTCGAAGGTGGCGGCCATGGTGAGCGGCCGCCCGTCCCACGTGCGCCGGTCGTCCTGGTCCTGGAAGGCCTGGCGCACCGCCTGCATCATCTTGATGGTGCCGCGCAGGTAGGGCGAGGGGATGTCGCTGAAGGCCTTCTCGGGCAGCAGGGAGTTGCTCACGGGCGTGGAGTCCTGCACCAGCAGCTCCTGCTCCGGGGCGCTGTTGCGCTGGCCGTACAGGTCGGTGCCCACCGCCAGCAGGCGCCCGGCCGAGCCCACCACAGTCACGTCCTGCTTGAACTCGCCGGGCACATTGAAGTTGAGGGTGACGGTGCAGCACACCCCGCCCTCCAGCACCATCTGGAAGGTGCAGAAGTCGTCGCTGGTGATCTGGCGGATGCCCTTGATGTGATCCGTCTGCTTGACGAAGGTCTTGAGCAGCCCGTGGACTTTGACGGCCTTCTGGCCGGTGAGGAAGGTGAGCAGGTCGATGATGTAGGTGCCCACCGAGTGCAGGCCGCCGCCGCCCATCAGGTCATCGCAGCTCCAGTTGTACTTCTTGCCCAGCAGGCTGCCGCTGTGCACCTGCACCTCGCACACCAGCGGCTCGCCCACGTAGCCTTCCTCGATCAGCTGCTTCATGCGCACGAAGGCCGGCAGGAAGCGCAGCACGTTGCCCATGATGCTCATGAGCTTGGGGTAGTAGTGGGCCGCCGACATCATGCGGAAGGCGTCCAGCGGCGTGGCGGTGCGGTCGCAGATGACGTTTTTGCCGATGCCTGGGAGGGAGGAAGGACAGGAAGTCAGTGGGTGGCGCGCAGGGGGTGGGCGGCAGGGGGCGCTGTGGCTCCCGGAACGGGACCACGCCCGGGGATACCTCTAGCTCTTAAGCTGAAGTTACAGCATTTTCTAACACCTTTTACTTAAATTCTGCATATTTCAAAATCACTTTAAATATTTAAGTTGAATTGCTTAGTTTAATATTAAACCACTGGCATTGATTTAAACAGTAAGATTTAAGATACTTAAATAATCTATATTTTACAAATATTTTAAAATACTTGTCAAGAACGTATAAGATGTTTTACTTCCTATTTTATATACATCTATAACCTTTTGTATAGAAATAGACTTGGCTTTTATATTACTTAAATACAAAATAGAAGATGGTTCTATTGAAGTATACAATATCTTTTTACCTGTAAAATATATTTTGTTACAATTGCCTTATATAACAAATATTTTATCTTTCATTTTATAAGTATCATTTTTATCAAAAATTTATTATTAAAAATATCATATAGAGAGAGGAAAGTAGTATCTTGTATCTAAAAAAAATCAGAATATGTAAGCTGAAATCCTAGCCAAGGCCAGTCTGATTAAGTGTGAGGAAGAATTTCTTAATGATACCCTTTGAAGGTCTAGGCTCTTGGCTATCAGGCTTCCCCCTCACTTCCCCACCCCTCCAGGATTGTACTTTGAGTGGTATCTTACTTGTTTATTTTGCATTCTGCATTAGAGCTAACAGTGATCACAGATGTGTTTGTTTAATGTTCTTTTCTTCCCATAAAGAGTAGATAGTGCCTACAACTGAGGGGTGGGCAATGCCTATTTCCTCCCACCCCTATCTGCCTCAGGGGGGTAGGTAGCTTTTGGCCAATGGAGTTCAGGCCACAGAAGAATTAGTGTTGTGTGATGACTGTAATGGCTGTATAAATTACAGGGAGGCCAAGATGCCTCTCTGAGCCCTTTAGGAGACTAAGTGGTTCTGGGTCTGGAGAAAACAAAGGATCAAAGGCAAGGAGAGTGACAGGGAATGAGACAGGGATTTAATCCATAGGAGCCAAGAGTCAGGGAGGAAGAAAAACAACTCAGCTGGATCTGCAGAAACAGCCAACTGGAAGGAAAAAAAAGAATCACACAGATCTGTTAGCAAGCCAGATAAAACAGATGCTAGGCTGGAAGACACTCCCCTCGTGGGGAGCTCCTGAGTCAAGGCGTGTGGGGCAAGGGTCTGTGGTCTAGTCATGCTCACACACAGACCCTCTAAAAAGAGACCTGGGCACTCCAGCCATAGATGTGGGAGAGACCCCAAGGGAAACAGGGTGATGAGACACCCCTCCATCGCATTTGTCTTGGCTATGGGGACTCAACTGACAATATCCGGGAACTATAACACACGGTCTAAGCTCGGGTTTTGTGGAAGTCTAACCATTGTAATGTAGTGTGGGGACGTGTGCACAGACATGGCTCTCTCATTTCCCACTGGAAGAACTAGCCAAAGGCCAGAAGTCGCTAGCACAGATTGAAGAAAAGAAAAACTAGCAATGGCTGTTGATGCCCACGTACACATCTACTTCTGGGCTCTAGCAGGAGGCCCCCAGCACCCCTTCCCTTTTCCGTACTGGCAGAGCTGGGCTGGCTCCCTCATGACCACAAACAGCAGTATGAAGCTCTTTTGACTCTTAGTAATTAGATGAGGACTGGGCCTCTGGCAGAGGGATGAGGCACAATTGGTTTGTATCGCCAAAAATGCCACACACCTGCATAACACAATGTTCTGACAATAAGATCTTATAGGCATTAGGTTCATGTAACCGGTTCATGCTGCCAGGAACAGATTTATATGTAAACGGATTGGTAGGTCACTGCAGGGACAGGTGACACGTGCTGCCAAAATCTGCCTCACACCTGTTGAGTATGGGCTCCGGTTTACACCCGACTTCAAAGTCCCCCAAACCAAGACCTCTGACTGTCATCTCCTTAGTACATCCTTCTCATTCATGTTAAGAGCACTTTAAAAAGTCTACCTTATTTTTTGCTATTATAAAAACTATAAAACAATAAAAGGAAAAAATGATAAATAGCAAAAAATGATTCACACCCCTTTAGCACACACCTCAATCATTGAATGGATAATTCTCTGCAGTACTACAGAAGAAAAGATTCGGATGAAAGCTCCAGAAAATGCAATGTGAACATGCACAAAATTCCACTCCAGCCTGAAATTCATGCCTGGTTTCCCTAGGGTTCTGAGATATAAGCCTCTTTCCTTAGGTTACTTCTGTATGTTGTGATTCCACATTATACAGTAGGGTCCTCCTGAATAAAGACTGTTGTTTTCTAATTTCCTAAGTTTCCCTCATGCCCACAGCACCTGGCTGGACACCCCGTGTGCAGGGGGACCCCTGTGAGTATTGTTCCCTGCCCCCACCTCTCTACCCAGTCTTTTGCAACATCCATACTTTACAAATGGGTCTTGGCAACAGCTTAACACACAGTATCTTTAGAAGTCAAAAGAGACTTCTAGGAATGTATCATAAAGAAATAATTTAAAATGCAAGCACAGCTGCTTGCCCAAAGATGGTTCTCACTGCATTATTTATTAAAGTAAAAAGTGGAGAACAATGCAAATGCCAAACAGAAGACTGGATATGTAAACTGTATCACAGCCACATAATGGAATATTGTGCAGCCACAGAAAATTGGTGCTTATAAAGACTTTTCCATGGCAAACAAAGTAATTAGGATGCAATGTGAAATGAAAAGGCCTCCATTCATAAACATACTATGATCTCAACTCTCTCTTTCAAAAAACAAATGCATAAGAAAAAAAACAGAAAAGGAATATACCTCAAAAGACCTGGCTGCATCGCCGGGTCTTGCTCCAATTGCTCAGGACCTTTCTCTGATTCAGGGTGAAAGCTGTGGACTCTCTCTCCAGAACACATAATTCAAACTGACACACCAATCTCCGCCACATCCTGAAGCCCGTGCATGGACTCCCTCGGGTTCTAAGGTCCTGGCACCCCTATTATAAATTGTAAGATAAGTTCTCAAAGCCCTTAGGACATATCATTAAAAATAAGGTGATGCTTCCAATTTGAAAAGGAACCTAAAATGCAGAGCCAGCAGACCCTTCACAAACCATGTTTGTGAAGAGAGAGAGCAGCGTTTGTTGTCTCTCTGCTCTGGGCTGTCTTCCCCAAGCTGCCCTCTCTCTCTGGAACCCCCAAGTTCCTCCGATTGTTTTTCTCAAATTTTCCCTCACTCAAATCTGCCCTATTAAAAGGTCCTTAGTATTATAACAAGAATCAAGGGCTTAGCCCAAAGGAACACAATTCTAAGTGCAGACTTCCAACCATGACTCTCAGATGCTGGCTGGGGGGCGGGGATGGGGTGGGGATTGGCGTAGCACAGAGCATCCCCTCATCCCTGACCACAGGCACAGTAAGGGGAACTTGCATCGTCTGAATGTATGACTGACACATGTCACAAGCCTGAGCATGTCAGATGCCACTCTGTATGTGCTGGGATTCCTTCCAAATAAAGTACACAGACACCTGCTCCTCCAACCTACCTCTGTCAGCCTGGACCTTGGGCCTGGCTTTCCAGCAAATCCCAAAGGCCTCTGCTGTCCCCATCATGGTCATCTGTCTCAGAATGGTGCCTTTCTTGCCACCCCCAGAGGAAGCACTGAAACAAGCTCTTTAGAGAAAAGTCCTCTCTCTTCATCTAGAGTAGGGAATACTAAGTAGGGCCGCCTTGCACCCTCCCTAAGCAGGTGGAGATAACGTTTCTTTGATATGAAAGTAAGGATGTTCCCAGGGAAAATGAGGGGTCCAGAGAAAGGCAGAGGCCATGGCCAAGTCCTAACGGAGAAACCTACAGAGGCTTTCCTCCGCCAGGAGGGGAAAAGTCCCTCCTGGTCTCACTCTGCACAGACAGAGGAGACAGGCTGCACTTTCTCACTCTCAGCTAGACAACTTGACCAAGAGGACAGGAGAGCCGTCCGTACCACCTTCAGTCCACACACCTTTCACAGCACCACACTAAATGTGTGGTTTTTAGGGTTCAGGTTTATGTCCTGTTGGAGTAAAATGTGGTGCCCTCCTTTTCAGGCAAGAGATCAAAACCACTGGTATGTCAAACGATCTGAGAGAAAATGCTACAGAGAATTAAGCAAAGGGACTTGGAACATATGACCTCCATTTCACTCAGATAAACAGGCAGTGCAAAATGGGGAAAAAGAGGTGACTGACAAAACGTGTTTTATGTTTTGCCAAGCCTCAAATGTTCCCCAAGAGGTGGGAGAGTTTGGGCAGAGCCCTGTGGTGCTCACGGTGATGGTGGAGGAGCAGGAGGAGATTTCCGGGCACTCGAGGCTATGCAGGGTGGTGAGCAGAGACCAGGAGCCATCATGTCATGTCTCCATGGCTCCATGCTCAGCCCACTTACCAGCAGCTCTGTGCCTGCCCCCAGAAGGGTATGTGTTGGACTGTTGCCACTTTTGTCAACATGATAACAGTGGGACCATGGTGGTGGTGGTGGAGGGGGTTTGCAGAGAGCACGTGGGGACTAGCCTAGCCTAGGTCTTCTGGGGAAGCCTTCAGAACCCACCTCCACATAGATCACATGCCCCTTTCCAGGAGGACAAAGAGCTAAATCTTGGGCTTTGGGGGAATGGGAGAGATCTTTCTACCTAGGCCTAGAAACCGAGGCTGGGGGCAAAATGATATCTGTGGGAAACGTCTGGAGAGGGGAGAGTGAAAGTGCTACATGCAAGGCAGTGTGCCTGTTCTTTGTCAAGAGCTTTTAAGTTAAATAATTTCAGAAGGAACTTTACTGCCCTCCTGAGATCCCTCATGGGAAAATGGAAAATTGGCTTCCTCCAAAGCCTGCTGCATGTGTTCTCTGCAACGAAGCCAAAATAAGGTCCTCACAAGGGTTTTGTTCCATTGGAAAGGGGTTTCCAATCCAAAGACCCTCAAGCCAACTT